TGAACTCCATAGTCAGTCATGTAGGCTCCAGTTGCCTTAACCACCATGCCACCAATGGCCCAGGTTTTTGTTGTTTTAAAAATGTAAATCTTGGGGCCAGCAGGTGCATGGTATCTAGGGGCACTGAACTCCCACATGGCCAACCACAGTTCAAGTTCCAGACTTGGCAGCTTGTTTTCTCACTCTCTCTCTATTTTTATCTCTCTCTGTCTCTCTTTCTCTGTCTGTTTCTCTGCCCCTCACTAGTCAAATTAAAATAATGAAATAATTCTTTAAAAAAAAATGTAGATCTCTCAGGACCAGCCATTGGCATAATGGTTATGTTGCTGGATTCCCAGCGACTACATAGTCAACTGTGGTTCAAGTCCTGGATCTGGTGGCTTAAACCGCATATGCATACCCAAAAATCTCAAGACGAGAATGGGGGAGAAGGGATTGCTACATAGGCATTCCCCTGGGGGTGGGGGGGGTGATTTCTCACTTTCTGTCTCTGTCTCATCAGCAAGTGCATGCACCCTATAGCAAAAATCTTTCTTAACCGTAAGAGTAGATCTCTCCAATTTTCTTGAGAAACATAAAATGACTTCCATAACTGGATTTTTAAATGAAACATTTAGGTCAAATATAATAAATACAAATTTTAATACTTGGTTTTAAAAAGTAACAGAGTTCCTCCTTGTCTAGCACCATTTTTTACCTTTCATGCACAAATATACTTTGCTATGGTCTGTTAAGTCTTGTCTTTACAAATCCAGAGGATGCAGGGAAATACTGTGTTCTCTAACATTCCGCTCCCAGCTCTGCCCACTGCTGGCTTTCTGGCCCCACCTCTGCAGGAGATGTGCCTGTTCAGCTTCAGGTGCATCACTGAGACTTCCAGGAGGTGGTTTGGAGACTCAAAAGGCGCACTGTTTGGAAATCACAGCAAGAAGCTGATAAACTTTGTCAGTGGAGCTATTTAGTATAGATGGTGTTTTGGCAGTAATAATTTCTTCTCATGTTTAAGAACTATTGAATTATTGTATATGTAATGAGATGTTAAATTTGTATTCTTAACAGCTGTGAATGTTTATTCTTTATGGGGCTTCCCTTATATTAAAATTTTACGTTTTAGGGCATGTTGATCTAATTTTTGTAGTAGGCTTATCAAAAGAGTGACCTAGATCTATTGGAGTTTTTTTGCTTCATTTTTGGCCTACCCAGGCCTGATTATATTCTCACTACTTTTGTAAAGATTAAAATATTCTTTATTGTCTTACCTTTTAAATAACATTTTATCACTACTATTTTAGTAAAAATATTAGTAAAGTATTTTATTACTGCTATTTTAGTAAAAATATTATTTAAAAATATTTATTTAATAGATATTTAACATTTAATAAAATATTATTTAAGAGATAGTATGTTTACCCTAGATAACAAATTAGAATTACTTTTTGTGTTATCCGTTACTGAATTTAATAATATATTTTCCTGGTATTTAGTAAAAACACCAATGAAACTTGTTTATAATGCTTAGCAAAATGGATCAAATTTAAAAACTGTTTTCAAAACAGATTTGGTAAATCAAAATAAAACTTCTTTTCTTTGAACATAAAGTATTTTGGATATGCTGAAATTAGAAGGAAAAATGATGAATGGCCTTCACAGTCTTGGGATCAATGGAGAAGAGATGAGCAAATTTTTAAAATTAAATTCCAACATTCAGGACTATACCTATGTATTAGATATTCAGCATTCTGCAATAATGGTAAGTGTTCATGTTATTCCTTGTTCTAAAATCTCCAGTATATTAAAAGGTTAATATGACCAAATATTGGCTGGCTTTAGAATAAATTTAAGCATTTCGAAAGAGTACTCAGTGGAAAGAAAAAGTAAAACTGTGGACTCATGTCCTCTGTTCCTTGTAGCTTATAATCTCTGTATTTCCTTTTAAGAACATCTACCCACTCTCATTCAGTGTCCTCTCTGGCTTTAAAGATAAAAAGAAAACAATAAAGAACAACAGCAACACTAAAACACCAATCAACTAGTCTGAGGAGCGTAAGAATGCCACCTTAGCACAAGGAGAGCCATGCCTGGACGGCTTACAGGGACCTTCTAATGTGCAGACCAGACCTGGTCTTTGGTATGGCCATATGCAAGTAACCTGCTCCCACCTTCATTTCCTACACTGGGAAATATTGACACTGTCTTCAGTACTCACTTCATTTCATGATGGGAAAGTACTTTTTCCTCTTTCTGTCCAGTTCCTATTTCATACTTCAGCTCAGATGATCTTGACAGAAACTTTTCTTTCTTTCTTTTTTTTTTTTTTTAAGAGGGATTGTTGTTATAGGGCATATACATTCACCAAAGAGAGAGAGAGGGAGACAGAAAGCAAGAAATCACCTCCTGGAGAGAGAGCCATGCCACAATCCCTTCTCCTCCAGTCTCCTCTCATTATTTTAGGCATGCATGTAAACGTGCCCAGCGTGAGTTTCAAGCCACCATTTCCAGGACTCGAACCGTGGTCAACTATATGGCAGTCCAACAACGTAACTATTACACCATTTGCTGATCCTGAGAGAAGCTTTTCTTAATAATACATATTACTTAACTTTTTAATGTATGTGTTTCCAGGTGTTTCCTAAAACCATCCTCAAGTCAACTAATTTACTCAATTCCTAAGATTCAGGAGTTTTTTTAATTTACTATTATAGTTTATTAGAGCAGAAGGACATAAAGCAAGTCATCAAGGATGAAGTTCAGAAGAAACCATGTTTAGGTTTTTAAGAGTTCCCTCCTAAGAGTTATATAAAATGTCGTATAGGATGTATTTAATCTGATCTGTAAAGTTCTACCCACCAGGGAAGCTCTCTTGTCCACAGTTGTGAAAGGGGTCTGTCTTATAGGCATGCAGTGGCTCTATACCTGCCCTCAGTCATGAAGTCCCAGACTCTGAAAGGAAATGCAGGTGTTCATTTCAAATCCCCTTGTTTGTCTAAACTCTCTAGACAAACTGCAGCATCATGGCCCTAGTGTACTCTTAAAAGAGCTCAATTTTCAGGAGCGGGCCAAGAGAAAACAGGCCAGTCACAAAAACAGGTCCTTTTCAGGAATGTGCAAGGTGTGGGCAACAGAGGCCTGCTGAGTTAATAAGCCTTTTGCATACACACACACACACACACACACACACACACACATGTGTATTACATGTTATTTTTCATACAGGCACATCATATGCATATATAAAAATTATATGTCAGAATTATCGGTCCCTGTATATACACAGCATAGTTATAATTTTACATTCATCCTGTGCAGCTTTCACATTTATCTTGTGATTTGTTTCTTGTGCAACTATTGGGTTGTTGGGAAGTCATGGTGCATTTTATATAAAAAAATACATCATGACTTTCCCAACAACCTAACATAAAACTTCTTGAGCTTTAGAACTTGATTCATTTTTTTCCCTCTCACAATTAAATCCCTGGTTTTAGTAGGTACTTGATAAATACAAATATTCCCTCAGTGAATAAATGCTTATCATAGGAAACATAAAACATAATTTTTAATGATGAGATTTTGGAAACGTACCAATTTTAAGTATAATCAATATACAAGGTCTTCAGAAAGTTCAGATATGATGCCTATTATGAAAAAATTGTGCATGATTTCATGTTTGCTTTGCATTATGATTTAATATTATTATAGAAAGTAGAACTGTTAGAAATGAGAAAATGAAAGTGTTACCAGACAGATAACTGTATGACTAAAACGTGTTAAGGAAAGCCATTATAATTAAAAACAAACTGTCTTAAAATGGGTTTGAGTGACATTGATATGATGCCTATTATGAAAAAATTGTGCATGATTTCATGTTTGCTTTGCATTATGATTTAATATTATTATAGAAAGTAGAACTGTTAGAAATGAGAAAATGAAAGTGTTACCAGACAGATAACTGTATGACTAAAACGTGTTAAGGAAAGCCATTATAATTAAAAACAAACTGTCTTAAAATGGGTTTGAGTGACATTACTCAAATCAAAAAGTTTTCTTCCAAAAGCCATTTCAAATATATAATGATTTATTCATAATAACATAAAACTTTAATAATAATAACTGTATAATAATATATAATCACTTAACTAATAAAAAGTGCAGCTTAACTGAGGAGATATAAAAGAAGACCAAAAGGACACTTGTAAAGAAAGGATTGGTTGACATAACCTTTTAAATAGTAATGGCTGATGCCCTTATAATTTTTCTGTACTTCGTAGACATTGACATAGTAATTTCCCTAATGTAAACCACCAAAGAGAAATAGGAGATGGCCAGCCGTGGTGGGGTGGTGCTAACGTAGCACCTGCTCCACTCCATGATGCTGAAGCTATAAGAGGAAGGTCCCAGGTTCATGTCCTAAGGTCGCCCTGTGCCTGCCAGCTGCGTGCACCCTTGATCCTGCCTGGTTGAGGCTGAGGGTGATTGACGGTGTGAATAGTTTTCTCATAATACACAGTTTCCATGAATGCGTATGAGGAGTCTTTAGAAAGTTTAATTTAAAAAATGACATTAAAGCATGACAGTTTTCACTCACCTCACTCAGTACTCATAATAACTACATGAAAAGACAGACAGAGACAGAGACAGAAAGCGAAAAATCACCCCCCAAGGAAGATGGCCATACCATAATGCCTTCTCCTCCTTTCTCCCCTTGGGATTTTGGACATGCACGCATATGCTCCTGGTGTGAGTTTTAGGCCACCAGGTCTGGGACTCAAACTGTGGTCAGTCATGTGGGAGTCCAGTGACATAACCATTAAGCCATCTGTGGTTACTGTTTCATATATAGAAAAACCGAAATTCTGCGAGGATAAATCAGTTATGTAAAGTCATTCACAGGTTTGAATTTTAATAGGTTCTGTTATTTTCCATATGCCAAGAGCTTTTTTTTTCTCCCCTCACCTTCTTATTTTATCTATTCTGCTTAATACATGCATTCCAGTTTATACATTGACTAGAAAGTGAGCAAATGAGGCCAGAGCTTGCACACCCATCCTTTCTATTCAGTTGAATATGTTCACGTCCCATAAATATGGATCCTAAATTCACCAAAACATTTTCTCTATAAATATGAGCTCATGGAGTCTGGTTTGAAATGTAACAATTTGTTGTGATAATTTTATTTTAATTATTTTTTATTAATAGTAGTATTATTTATTCTCATGTTTTTAAAACATTCAATCACTATATAATAATTTGACTTGTAAAGAGAATTTACCCAACATGAAATACTTCTCAGACCAGTCCAGTTGAGAATACTATACATGTTATCATCAACAGGTAATAAACCATTTCTGTGTCCCACTAATGTCATGCGTCTCTATTTGTTCTCTTGCTATCCTTCTCTATACACTTCCCTTCCTCTCCCCCCCACTGTTCCATACTGTCTTCTGCATTTATAACTATTTTCACTGCTTTTATGCCCTCCAATATTTTTATCTCCATCGTAAAGTATGGATAGTATATATTAAGTGGATACATACAGTATCTTTCTTTCACACCCTGGATTGCTTTGCTCAGCGATACATCTTCCATATTAGAACACTTTCTGTCAAAAATCAAGGTCTTGTTTTTTTGTGGCTGAATAGTATTCCACAGAGTATATGTGTCACACTTTTTTCATACACTCATCTGTTTGTGGACATTTGGGTTGGTTCCATGAATTAGAGCATTTCTTAAGAATATACTTCTGGTCTTTTTTGTGGCTATTGATGATTGTGTTTTCATGCCACTGTGTGAGATATACCTCCCTCAAACCTTGTTACACATTGGCATTATACATTCATTATAATTTCTCAGAGTATCGTTAACTTTAGTACTCTATTGTTTAACTTCTTTATAAGTGATTTTATCTAGGGTTTATATAGAAACTATGATTTTTGAAAATCAAAGTAAATAGGTCTTTGTCTTAATGTAATGAAAAACACATCTTGAGGATATAAAGGTTAAAGGGCATGGCAGGTGGCATGATAGTTAAGAGCCCTGGAATCCCACATGGCTGACTGTGGTTCAAGTCCTGGACCTGGCAGCTTGTTTTCTCACTTTCTCCCTCTCCCGCTTACAGTGTTTTTTTTTTTTAATAATTTTTTGCTATAGGGCATGTGCTCTCACCAGAAAGACAGAGAGAGAGAGAGAAAACAAGAAATCACCCCCCGGGGGGATGGCCACACCGCAACCCCTTCTCCTCTGGGATCTTGGGCACGCACGCACACGCGCCCGGCATGAGTTAGGCCACCGGGTCCAGGACTTGAACTGCATTCGGCTACATGGGAGTCCAGCAACATAGCCATTACGCCAACTGCTGGTCTCAACAATTCTTTAAAAAGGCTTTTTATGTAATCTGTGATATTCATATAATCTTCATAGAAAAAAAAAATCTCAAAAACTAATTTTTTTCTCCTAACTTGCTAAATAGATTCCAGTGAGATCCATAGATGTAGAATATGGTTTTGCCAAAATCTTAACAGGCTGACCAGTGCTGCCAGTCATAATCCCCTCCCTCCCACTCTTCTTCCCTCCTCAGTAGATGTCCCTTGAAAGTGCTAGAGCATTACTTCTAAAACTGTAATGAAATAATAGCTTTCTCCCCCTAATCTGCTATGAATCAATATATTACCTTACTGTGGTGACTAATACGTATCTTGTACTACATGTGGCATAACAGGAGTTCAACAAACTAAACTGGCCTATACCATGTCCATTGAGATGAGATCACTGTGCCATGGAGCCAGATCTAGGTTTAGTTGTTCTTTTCTATTTTTTTGAGAAGGATCATTATGTTGTACATTTGAAATATTTCTATTTTTGTGACAGACAACTTATGTTATAAACCTTTTCATGGAACTGCTTTTCCTGTATCATAGGCTTTGGTATTTGTTTTTCTTAATGCTGTCATAAATGGCTATAAATTTCTTTTTGAGCCTTATGTTTTGATATATTATGTTTTGTTTTTGATTATTTCAAAGTGTTTTCTAATTTTCCTCATGATTTTTTTTCTTTGACTTATTAGTTATTTAAGATTATATTGTTGGGGCTAGCAAATGGCATGGTGGTTAAGGCACTGGATGCCCAATGGCCAACTATGGTTTGTGTGTCAGATACGGTGGCTTAAAGATCATGTCGAGAGCATGCATGTGCATGTCTGAAGTCCCAAGAGAATGGAGGAGAAGGAATTGCAATGTGGTCATCTCCCCTGAGAGTTGTTTTCTTGCTTTCTGTCTCTCCAGTGAGCACACATGCCCCATAGCAAAAATCTCTCTTAAAAAAATAGAAGTGTTTTTTCTCCTGATTCTCTCCGTCTTTTTCTAAATCATCTTTGTATCTTTTTAATTTTTCTTGTGGCTTTAATATCTGGTTCTTTTCTTTTTGCATGTCAGTTTTTTATAAGAGCCAGAAATTGATGAAAAAATATAGTGTTAAGGTTTGATTGGTAGCCTGAAAACCAGGTGCTCACTTACTTTTGTTGAGGCTTGTTTTCAGGTTTTGTGAGTCTTATGGGATCTGTGCTATTGGGCCTCAGAGGGAAGTCTATAGTGTTTACCATTTGGACATAGTCTTAGTATGACATAGTCTAAGACAGTGTCTTAGTCATAGCATAGCACCATGCTGTGGCTGTGATTCTCTGTTTTTTTTTTTTTCCCTTTTTTTTTTTTGTGTGTGTGTGTGAGGTGGGGGAAGCTTGGCATGGTGCGGGGAGGCATCATGTGTGTGTGTGTGTGTGTGTGTGTGCTAGTTAGGAGTCAGCAAATGAAAGGAATTTATATGGAGATTGTTCTGGTTTCTTCCCTACAGTTTCCCTCTCCTAGATTCCTGTCTCCCTCCTCAAATTCCAGCTGTTTTCCTGACTTTGACTTTTGCTTCCCAGCTTAGGGTGACAGTCACTTTCTGTCTGAACTCTTTTCCTCTAGATTGCAATTTGGAAAATCCCTAGATGAAGTAGAGATGAATGAGATTGTCTTTTATGCCTCACGCTTTTGAGAATTGTAGCTCAGTTCTTGATTGTGGGTTGCTGCCCCTACCACGTGCTTCTAACAGTCAGTGCTCATACCACTTTCTCCAGCCTTTATACTTGAGTAGAGCTGGACATCTACGGTGTTCCTTTTCTAACTTAACTTTTATAAGTCATTTTGTTGTCCCATGTCCAAGCCTTTAAATTGATAGGGGAGGTAGAGGACCTCATCTACTACTGATAATTAAGATAAATACTCCTCTCTCTGCAGTGGTTGTAGAGTAACTTTATATAATTTTATTTTGTGACATGAGAAACAAGCACATGAGTGAAAGATTAGTCGTTTTTGAAGGAATTCTTAATGTATCAGTCTATGAAGTATAAAATTTTGTACATAAAATGCATCCCTTAATTTAGAGAACATTTGACTGGCTGCCTATTCTTAATCAGAAATGTAGAAGATTGTGTGCATATTTTCACTTGTCATTTGATACAGTGAAAATCTGGCTTTGAAAATGATTTAGTGCTATCTTAATACAATTTTCAAAGATTTCTGGATTCTTTTCTAGTGGATCAATGATTTAGAAAATGATGATTTGTATGTCACATGGCCTACAAGTTACCAAGAACTTCTGAAGCCAACATTCCCTGGAAATATACCTTCCATAAGGCGTAATTTGCATAATTTGGTGAGTTTTATAATTTGATTACTTTTATATGTACATATCTTTCATAAAGCTATCTGCATACTTTTTGGATTCACTTTCTATTTGTGAGTAGGCATCTGAGTTGTAAGGACTTGCCTGATGCAGCAGCTTGAGGCTGCATAGCTAACGGATATGAAAAGCCAAAACAGTGTTACTACTGCCCCTTATCAGTCTTCATGTCATTTTATAATACCACTATTTTTTTAAAGATTTATTTATTTATGCATTCATTCCTTCATTTTAATTTGACCAGAGAGAGACACACAGAGAGAGAGAGAGAGAGGAAAGTGAGAAAGGAAGCCACCAGGTCCAGGACTTGAACCATGGTTGGCCATGTGGGAGTGTCCAGCACCTTAACCACCACGCCACCTGCTGGTCCCTATAATACCACTATTAAGTTGATGAGTTACTTTTACCTTTTCTCGAATTCATGATAGAATTTTTCTTCATTCTACATTATAAAGAACTAATGATTATAGTACATTTTAGGAGAGTGTATATAAATGTTACTTTATCATCTATACATGTAAGTCCATTACTGCAGTACAATATTAAGTATACAAGTAACCTTACTGGAGCTTTGAAATGAAGTAAAAGCAGCTAGGGCTTTATTGGGTTTTTTTTACATAGGAATTTAATATCTTTTTTTCATGTAACAATCATAAGCAATTTATGTTAATGCTAATTTTTTTGCTCAAAATTCAGTTTCTCATTTTCTTTAAACAAAGAGAAAAGAAAAGAAAAGAAGCCATCACAGAAAATTCAATGAACATTTAGAATAAGGTATTTCACTTCATGTCAAAAAATACTTTAGGAACCAGCAGATAGTATAATGATTATGTTGCCAGACTCCCACATAGTCGACTGTGGTTCAAGTCCTGGACCCGGTGGCTTAAAACTCACACCGACTGCATTTGCATGTGTGCCCAAGATTCCAAGAGGAAAATGAAGGAGAAGAGATTAGAGTGTGGCCATCCTGCCTCGGGGGTGATTTCTCATTTTTTGTCTCTCCTCCTCTCTGGTGAGCACATGTGCCCTATAGCAAACATCTCTTTAAAAAAAAATACTCAGTGCTGTACTTCCAAAAATAAGATAGATGATCTGATACTAAATTTTACGTATAAGTATATTTTAATATATAACTTTTAGAAATCCTTCCATTATAAAATTATTTCTTATTTATATTCCTCAGAACTGTTTAGCATTTCTAGGAATTTCTTAAAAACTTAAGCCTTGTGGGACCAGCAATTAGCATAATGGCTATGTCATTGTACTCCCATGCAGCCGACTGCAATTTGAGTCCCAGACCTGGTGGCTTAAACTCACGCCGGGCGTGTGTGCATGCATGCCCAAGATCCCAAGAGGAGAATGGGGGAGAAGAAATTGCAGTGTGGCCATCTCCTCTAGGGGGTGATTTCTCGCTCTCTGTCTCCCTCTTTCTGGCAAGTGCACGTGTCCTATGGCGAAACCTCTCAAAAAAAAAGGAAAAAAAAATTAAACCTTGAATTTAATGTATTTAATTATAAAAATTAGACTAAACATTTGAATTAATGATAATTCTATATTTAAATAATGATTATATACTATCTTTCTTTTAGGTTCTGTTTATTGATCCTGCTCAAGAATATACCTTGGCTTTTATACAGCTTGCTGAACTTTTCTATTATCATGCAATTCCTCTTAGGTAATTGTCAATTTATATCATTAAACTGTCAACTGAAGGAAATCTTGTGATGTTCATATTTGATCTTACACAGAACATTAAGGTGAAATTCAAAACAGTGGTTAACTCTGAAGTCTGACATAACATAGCTGTATATTGTGAAGTATCATATACTTTTATGATAGTACCTTCCTGAGAGAATTATCTGGTAATACTAGGAACTTATGGGAGGTCCCATCTTCTTGGGGTTGAACGAAAAGTACACTTATCCTTTTTTTTTTTCTCCAAAATAATATGTGCATTTAATAATGTCATGACTAGGGACATTGTTTGACATTTTCAGGAGTCTAGGAGCTATGAAGGTTTTAGTGAATAGGTGTTATAGCCAAACTTTTCAAGTAATAATTCCCCTTTCCTCTCTATACTAATATATTTCCTCCATTTAGATCTTGTAAACTAAGACTTTTTTGAAAAGTGGTTTATATGGTTCAAGAGGTTGTTGTGACATTCCTTATTTATCTCTTTTCCCAGAATTGGTTTTGTGTTCATTCTTAATACAGACGATGAAGTTGATGGAACAAATGATGCTGGAGTTGCCCTTTGGCGAGCTTTCAACTATATTGCAGAAGAACGCGATGTGTCTGAAGCATTTGTTTCCATAGTACATGTGAGTTAATGTATTGATACCAGATACAATTTCTTCAGAATGTTTAATTTTCTGGCATTGCTATGGTAGTTATATATTTACTGTTGTAACACTTCAAAGTTTATGAGAATTATCATGGGGATTAATACAGACGATGAATCTAATTCTTAAAGCTCCCTACTGAAATACTTAAGATTGTCCCCACTTATTAATTGGGCAACTGAGGCCTTGCCACAATATATTAATTCACTTTAGAATACACAACCACTGAAAGAATTCAAATTAAATATTTAAGTTTAGAGAAAAACATATTAATGTAAAATGATTAAACAGGGAAGAATTCTTTTTTTTTTTTTTCTGGGCGGGAGGAGGTTTTTGCTGTAGGGCGTATGAGCTCGCCAGAAGGACAGAGAGAGAAAGAGAGACAGAAAGTGAGAAATCACTCCCCAGGGGGGATGGCCACACCGCAATCCCTTCTCCTCCATTCTCCTCTCAGGATCTTGAGCACACACATACACACGCGCCTGGCATGAGTTTGAGCCACCAGGTCCAGGACTCAAACTGTGGTCGACTATGTGGGAGTCCAGCAACATAGCCATTATGCCAATTGCCGGTCCCTCCCTTTGCTACTTTTAATCTGGATCTTTTTGTTGTAATAAATCATAACCATGAATATGACAATTTCTGATTTCTGTAAGTCTCTCTAGTGAATTATCAAGTCTGAAGTAGTCCTAGAGACTTCAACATACATAGATACTGGAGAAATAATTCGCCTTAGACCAAACAAGATGAAAATACGAAGATTTCCTTCTTCTTGTTATTGTTATTATTGTTCTTTTATCTAAAAACCAATGTCCTGATGTCTCACTCACCAACTATTAAAACCATGCTGCAGCTGTATGTATCAATCTCCCAGAAAAGGAAGGGTGGGTGGAGCATTAAAAACAGTATTCTCCTGTCACTTGTATATGTCCCAGGAAAATCACTAAATACTTCATTAATTTACTATTCTGTATAGAAACTTATCTACACTTTAGTGATTTGGGAGTATAGTACCACAGAATATTTATCAATTTTACAATTTGCTTTAATTTACTAGCAGTAAGTGTTTTTAAGAGACTCAGTAAAATTGACTTAATCTTTAATAAAAGTTCTTAATTTTTTTATTAAGATCTAACTGTTGTAAAAGAATCAGTGATATTTAAAATTGAAAGACCTGAAGACATTTAGAAATTGTCTTTACCTAAGTTGTCTTGATTATCAATATCAAATCTCTACTCTATAATCTTTTTGTATCAGACATTGATTTGCAAGTGATGGCATATTTGTCAATCACTTGCTTTTTGAATTATATATTGTGGTGTTTAGCCCAATACGATAATCCTTAAGAAAACTGAGTTACAATTACAGCCACAGGATTCAATATGAAGCAGCAAACAAGTAAGTATTAAATATGTAGCATAGCCTATAAGTTGTGCTAAGCAATTTGAAAGAAAAGGAAGACAGTGAAAAATAAATGAGGAGGGGGAACCAGCAGTTAGCGTAATGGCTATGTCTCTGGACTCCCACGTAGTCGACCGCGGTTCGTGTCCCGGACTCGGTGGCTTAAAACTCACACTGGGCGCGTGTGCGTGCGTGCCCAAGATCCCGAGAGGAGAATGGAGGAGAAGGGATTGCGGCGTGACCATCCCCCCTGGGGGGTGATTTCTCGCTTTCTGTCTCTATGTCTCTCTCTGTCTGTCTGGCGAGCGCACGCGCCCTACAGTGAAAATCTCTCCCAAAAAAAAAATAAATAAATAAATGAGGAGGGAAATTTAGAAAAGGCATATTCAAATCCACTGGAGTCTGTAGTGTTAGAAAGTAAGTATTAAATATGTAGCACAGCCTGTAAGTTGTGCTAAACAATTTGAAAGGGAAGGGAGAGAGTGAAAAATAAATGAGGAGGGAAATTTAGAAAATGCATATTCAAATCTACTGGAGTCTGTAGTGTGAGAAAGTTAGTAATTACTCAAACTATATATCCTCATGACCTCCAACATTTTGTATCCCAAAATTCCATAGAAAAATACATTTTTGAGCCAGTGTTCTGTTGTAAGTATATTGTGTCCTTAAGATGACTTAGCCTAACTAATTTAGAATAATCTGAACATAATATAGTTTTTTAGCAAAATACATGAATTATAAAATTGCTTCAATACTGGTTCATTGCTTTCAGTGAGCAAATTACTTTATCTGAATTAAATAACTTGAAAGATACTATTAGGAGAGAGGGAGAACATAAGATCAATATAATAAAAATGTATGAAAATTACTTAAATGTGATAGTAAACAAATAGAAAGTAAAAGTTAATCCAACTCCTCAGTAATTACATTATGAGTGACTAAATTTAACTTAAGCATACTAGAAGAATGGATATAAAAAGATAGAAAATTACTCACAAGACAGATATTCATTATAGGAGACTTAAAAGAACCCATAGATTATTAGATTTTGATAAAGGAATTTAGTAAGGTAACTAGATATAAGATTAGTATATAATAATTGGTTGCATTTCTCTCTTCCAACAATAACTATTCATTAATTACTTTATTCATCAATTTTATTGAGTGCCTACTGCTTAGCCTATTCTAGGTGCCTAGATTAAATATCCAGAGAATAATTTTATCCACATGAAAGCATATATTCTGGAGACTGAAAATGTACTGGCACTCCTCATTTAATGACGGAAGTGTGTTTCCATAGCTAGACCATGAAGCAAACAGATTGATAAGTGAGGAGCTTAAAAGCACATGTCTTGTGGTATGTCATGATGCCATAGGGTGCATATTTTTCAATGTATATCATATGACACCACACTAGAATAACATAATTCTATCCGTATAAAAAGCATATGGCAGACAAATGCTAAAAAGCAGTGAGACACACTACAACATTTATCAATCCAGCATACTGATTTTTTTATTTATTCTGAATACTACTATGGGTGCACAATACAGTACAAATTTATAAACAAAACCTGTAATGTTGTGCAATAGCAAATGCTTCACATAATGAATACTGACGGTGGGAATGAGACAGACTGAGAAAGGAGATTCCTGAGACTCACATAGACTGAGAAAGGGGATTTCCTGTACTGGAGAACAGGTCATAAGTCCAAACAGTTGTTAAACAGGTAGATCATTAACTGAGAAGTGGCTATATGTTTTGTTTGTTTGTTTTTTGACTGAGGACACATGTGCTCACCAGAGAGACAGATAAGTAGAAAAGGAAAGTGAGAAAGGACCCCTCATGGGACATAGTCATGCCACAGTCTCTCTATTCTCTTGTCAAGATTTTGGGCACACACACACACACATGCACCCAGTGTGTTTTTCTTTTTTTCCCCCACATATTATTGATTCACAAAATTTCTTAAATAATCTAACTACTTTCAATAGCAAGTTCAGTTGGTATGTACATATCTATGAATACATGTCTGACTTTAGGCGTGAAACTCTGAATGGAATGAATATACTGTAAGGTGGCACCTGGCTGATGCTATATAGCTTACTTTGGTCATTAAATAGATACTTTTTAATATATTTTTTAATTTAAAGCTTTAATAAATCAAAGAAATGCTAAGGAATTTTGCTTACTTAAAACAAAGAAACAGGTTAGGATTCTATTCAAATAGTAGGTACAGGAACTTATCAGCAGTTCAAGATAGGACAAAAATTCTTAAAACCAGAAAGCAAAGCCTAGAAGAAAATCAGCAATGTTTTAGTCAAAAGTTATAAAATGCTATTTCACCAGTTCAGTCTCATATACTTAATCTATCTTCTGTTGTTGTTCAATCTTCCCGATTAAATTCTGGGATATCATATTCAACTCCAGACTTATCCCTATGATTAAGTTGGCCATTTTCTTAGTTTTTGAACTCTCATTTCTGTGTGTCTGAATTTAATTTTCCTGATACAGCACTCCCTTGAGAACTTCTTGGAGATCTGGTCTGGTATTGGTAGATTCTTTCATGTTTTGTGTATCTGAGAATGTTCTTGTCTTTTCTTCCCATATGAAGGATAATCTTGCTGGGTACAGTATTCTTGGTTGAAATTGTTTTTCCCTTAACGCTTTGAGTATATTTTCCCATTCTTTCCTCGCTCACATTGTTTCCAGTGAGGTCTACTGTTAGCCTGATGGAATATCCTTTGTAGGTAACTTGACATTTCTCTCTTGCCAATCTTAGTTCTTGTCTTTGTTTGTAGTTTTGCTCAATCTGGCTATAAGGTGTCTTTAGAGAAGATCTTCTTAGTTTGATTCTATTTGGGGTCCATTATATTTCTTGAGACTAGATCTTTGAATGCCTCTCTAGGTTTGGAAAGTTTTCTTGCAGGATTTCATGGAATAGATTATCTATGCCCTAATGAGTCTCTTTGCCTTCTGGGATAACAATTATTTGGATGTTTGGATATTTGATGGTATCTAGTATTTTTTGTATATTATTCTCATTTTGAGAGGCCATTTTCTCAGTTTTCATGGTGGATTTTTCTAGGCCAGCGATTCTATCTTCTACATCTGAGATTTGATTTTCTGTATGATATAGTCTGCTTTTACTACTTTAAAGGGAGGTTTTGACTTCCTGTATTATAGCCTTCATCTCTAAAGGATCTATTTGATTCTTTTTTTTTTTTTTTGAAGAGGTTTTTACTATAGGGTGTGTGTCCTCGCCTGTAAGACAGAGTGTAACACAGAGACAGAAAGCGAGAAATCACCCCTCCCCCCAGCAGTGGGGATGGCCACGCCACAATCCCTTCTCCTCCATTCTCCTCCCAGCATCCTGGGCACGCATGCACACATGCCTGGCATGAGTTTAAGTCACCAGGCCCAGTACTCGAACCACGGTCCACTACATGGGAGTTCAGCAACTTAGCCATTAAGTTAACTCCTGGTCCCATTTGATGCTTTTTTTTTTTTTTTTTTTTTTTTTTTTTCACAAATAGG